CATGTACTCCGGCTCAGACGAGCTAAGCGCGTCCGTTCTTTGGAACTTGAGCACCACCGATCCATCTCCGATCATCACCATGACCCCGGACACCGAGCGCCTATCGTCGATGTTCGTTCGCCAGTCTGTGTTCGAGAACGCGATTCCCTCGATCTTATCTGGCCCACAGGCTTCAGTCCCGCGATATTTTGTTCTGGCAATTTCCGTCCCACGGTTCCGTCCTGCCATTTCCTGTCCTGGTATGGCCTGTCCAGGTATACAATACTGTGCTCACGCGGCGGCTTTTATTAATACCTCAACACTCGGATAGCTGCCCCGCCTATGTCTGAAATTCAGAGTTTCTCGAGGAAACCGTGACAGCTACGTCACCTCGTACGCAATGTCCGGCCGAGTACATGCTGTAATGTAAGGTAGACAACCAATTACGGACCGCGGAGGTTTGGACCGCATTTCCGCCCGTACTTCTTCTTTTTTGGACCGCGGAGGTTTGGACCGCATTTCCGCCCGTACTTCTTCTTCCAGCTTGGCCAACGTCAGATTTACTACACACGGATTGTATACAGCCTTTGCGTTCTGCTTGCCGAATTGCTATGCCGCATCATCGATGTATCGCGAATGCTTAATCATGAGCGTCCGTTTCGTTCTGTTGTGGTGGATCTCCATCCCGAGAATGTATCTGGCCGTGCCTAACTCCTTCATCTTTGAAACGCGGTCTTTAGTGGCATCTTTCCTTCTTGAATCTCGTCATGGGTATTGGTAGCAATGATCATCCTCCACAAACAAGCACACGTTGGTGAGCTCGTTTCTGAAACGCTTCACGTAGAAACACTGTTCTGCGCCCCAACATTTAAGCCCGTTCTGGGCAAAACGTTGATGGATCATCCTATTTTACGAACTTGCGGCTTGCTTCAGATCGTAAATAGCCTTGTTCAATAAGCAATCGGGGTCGCATGCTCCTTTAGCGCACAATGGGATCTTCACGTAAACGCGGTCTTTCAGCACGCTGTTAAAACACGCTGTGGCCGCGTCCCATTGCTCCATTACGTATCCGACCGAAACCCGTACGGTAGGTACCGTTTGAATCGAGTTCATGATTGCTACATGCGAGTAAGTTTCAAAGAGGTCTATCTCGATCTTCGGTTTTAACCTTTTCGCAACCAGACCTGCCTTGTATCACTGATCCGATCTCTTTTCGCTTCTATGCAAAGACCCATGGCCCCTATAAGCCACATCTCCGTTCTGCGTGGAGCGATCGTCCACGTTCCGTTCCGTTCGTGAGAGAGTAGCTCGACACGCGTCCACAGCCTAGCTAGTTATCGCCTGCACATACATATTGGGTGGGTCCGTCGTGTCACTATTCTCGCAGCATATACCAGTACTGTCTCACCAATTAGTCCGTCCTCGTCAATTCGGGCTCTCTTCGGTGATGAAGGTCCATCACTCTCTTTCGATTTTCGCTCTTCGTCAAACTCCTGTCGGTCTTCAAGTAGTAGGACGGGATCACGACCTTGTCGCGTCCGTTCATGGTTTTGTGACTGACGAGTGGGGTGTCTTTATAACAAAGAAAAATAAGAGCGAATGAATGGAGTTTGGGGCTCTTCTAGGAGCTGCGGTGGTGTAGCACAGGGTTGTCAGATACAGAACTCAGCAATTGCATCGAAGTTATTGGGAATCGAATTACGCGTCTTCCGGCGGTGCAATTGTGAACTTGATCTTCTTGATGGTCTGCCCAGCGAACTGGTACGTTTTGTCTGGTACTCTGGATGTGTCCGTGTCGTAGAAATAGCTCGTCCCCACCGTCTCCTCGAGCTGCTCATGCAGTTCGTACTCTCCGATTTTTAGCATCGGCCTTGCCGTGTCGATGCCCTAGTCATTCGAACCAAGCAGCACAACGTCAACATCCGAGTCCTTCTACTCTACCATTGAACAGTTCTCGCACCTCAAGCGTCGCAGAGCTGTAGTCATCGAACAATGGGTGGTTCTTAAAGTCGCATAGCTCCAGCACCACCAGCATCTCCTCCTCGTCTTCACTTTCGTCGGCATCGCCAGTTTCCGAGTTTGGAGCCGGAGCTTTATCTTCCAATTCGTTTGCGTCTCGCTTAGCGTTCACCTGCTCATTTGTCTGCTCTGTAACGTGCACGTCATTCTCCTCATTCCTTCCTTCCATTCCTTCACTCTCCGCTCTTCGTCGCTTTCCTGTTGCAGCATCAGCTCGACCATCGTCCTTCATGGTTGTGCCACAATACCGGTAATGTCCTCGCTTTTAAATGACACTGACAGTGTTTCACCTCATTTTAGTGACGTATTGACGCTGACCAGCCAAAGTCTCGATTGGCAGTTAGTTGATCACCTTCACCAGCTCCCGGAAGCAGGAAAAAGCCTTCGCTCAAATATTTCACATAGGTATTGCTCATATCCTCTGCATTCATAGAAAGGACCAGCTGCTCCTGCTCAAGCAGTCTTCTGAAGCGTTCAGTACGCAGCTCGCCAATCTTCACAATCCCCTGCTCCAGCTCCTTCCAAAGCTTGCCGTTAATCAGCTTATAGCTGGCAAACAACTGCTCTGTGGATTCCAGTCCCGCTTCCTCAACGTACGGTCAGAGCATGCGTTTCGGATGTACATATCAATAAGTATCTCGCTCATTAAATGCTGGTGTAGGGTTCTCTTTATATTTCCTAGAGGGGAACACATTTCCCTCTGTTGAATATTGCAGTTTAAAATGAGCTGGCGATCTTTGGCGCCCCATACCCCTTGAAATGGAACGCATATTTGGGATTCTGCGGGAGAGACCCTCGCGCCCCTTTTGCGTTTTTCCCAAAAACGCGTAATTTCGGAATTCTTTTCCTTTCGGGGCGGGAGGGTAAGGTCCCGGACAAGAATTTGGCTTTGTAAAGGAGCTCAATCCGGTCGGGTTTGGTCGAATAAACCGGTTTGGCCACTGGCTCTACCTTAACCTTAAAAGCGGTCTCTTCAAAAATCTCGCGTTCCAAAGCCTCTCTCGGGCTTTCCGGCTGCATCCAGCCGCCTGGAATTCCCCAAGGCTCCTTACGGTAAGTATGCTTGAGCAAAAGCACTTCTCCCTTGTCATTGGTGACGACGGCCAGAACAGCCAGCAGAAATTTGCTCGTGCGCACGATAAACCAGCCAGTCCTTCAAGCTT